CTGGCGCGCTCGCGAGGAGCAGCCGCCGTCGGTGGCCGAGGGCTACGCCTCGCAGGACGTGTTCGGCGCTACCGAGACCAGCCTGTGGTACGACTTCCTGCCCGACCAGGCCGCGGGGCTGTGCGGAGGCAACGGACGGGCGCGACAAGCCACCCAGCGCCTGAGCGTCCTGCTGTGCGCCAACGCCGACGGCAGCGAGAAGCTGCCCCCGCTCGTGGCTGGCAAGTCGGCCAAGCCCCGTGCGGGCCAAGCCGGCCTGCCCTGCGACTACACCGCCAACTCCAAGGGTGGTGTCACCACTCAGGTCCTGGCCAAGTACTTGAAGGCCCTGGACGCCCGAATGGCCGCCGAGTCTCGCCGGGTCCTGCTGCTGGCCGGCCGCTTGGCTGCGCAGTCCCTGGACACCTCGGGCCTGCGGCATGTGCAGCTGGCCTTCTTCCCGCCGGGCACCGTGCATCCGCTGGAGCGGGGAGTGGTCCAGCAGGTGAAGGGCCACTACCGCCAGGCTGTGCTGCTCAAGGCCATGGCCGCGCTAGAGGGCCAGGATCCCTCAGGCCTGCAACTGGGCCTCATGGAGGCCCTGCACTTCGTGGCTGCCGCCTGGCAAGCAGTGGAGCCTTCGGACATAGCCACCTGCTTTCGTGAGGCCGGCTTCGGGGGTGGCCCTAATGCCACCATCACCACTTCCCTCAAGAGCGAGGGGGAGGAAGAGGAGGAGGAAGACGAAGAGGAGGAGGAGGAAGAGGAGGAGGAGGGTGAAGGAGAGGAGGAGGAGGAAGGAGAGGAAGAAGAGGAGGAAGGGAGGGAAGGAGAGGAGTTAGGGGAGGAAGAGGAGGTGGAGGAGGAGGGCGATGTTGATGACAGTGATGAAGAGGAGGATGAAGAGGAGGAGGAGAGCTCCTCTGAGGGTTTGGAGGCCGAGGACTGGGCCCAGGGAGTAGTGGAGGCCAGTGGCAGCTTCGGGGGTTACGGTGCCCAGGAGGAGGCCCAGTACCCTACTCTCCATTTCCTGGAAGGTGGGGAGGACTCTGAGTCAGACAGTGAGGAAGGGGAGGAAGATGAGGAAGAGGATGATGACGATGAAGATGATGACGATGAGGAGGAGGATGGTGATGAGGTGCCTGTACCCAGCTTTGGGGAGGCCATGGCGTACTTCGCCATGGTCAAGAGGTACCTGACCTCCTTCCCCATTGATGACCGCGTGCAGAGCCACATCCTCCACTTGGAACATGATCTGGTCCATGTGACCAGGAAGAACCACGCCAGGCAGGCGGGAGTTCGGGGTCTTGGACATCAAAGCTGAGTCACTGGGCCTAGCTGTGGCCCCCAACCCAGATTGGCAGCGCCAGCCCAGGGCACAGGACTCTCTGGGCACCCGCTGTGCATGGAGCCAGAGTGCGAGCCCCGGATCCTTTAGTGATGCTTCCCCTGGCCCTGTGACAGGCCCAGGGCTGAGGTCAGCCTCACTGCCTGCTTATTGCCTCTTTCTCAGAATCCTCTTTCCTCCCCATTTGCCCCTGGGCTGGGGGAGCAGGTGGGGTGGTGGGGAGCTGTCCGGTGCTACCACACCGTGCCCTCAGTGGACTAACCACAGCAGCAGCCAGGGATGGGCCCTGGAAGCTCCCGGCCAGCGAGTGCCTCTCCCCTCTGCTGTCCACACCAGGTCTTTGGTGGAGGGGACCCCAAAGCCATTCTGGGAAGGGCTCTAGAGGAAGGTCCAGCCTAGACCCCGCAAGGCTGGCAGCCACCACCCCCACCCCCAGGCCGCCTCGAGAAGCACAGTCTAACTCACTGCAGGCTTCTGAGCCTGCCTCTGCCTGCTTTCCGCCTCCCCACCCTTTTCTCTGGCCCAGTCTGTGTGACTTTGGCCCTTGGTTATCTTTCCAGATTGGAGGTTTCCAAGAGGCCCTCCAGGGGAGTGACAATGGGAGCTTCCCTTGTGGGCAGCTGTAGGCCCCATGCCTCTCCACCCTCTCTGGCAGGGCCCATCCTGGGCAGAGGGGCCTGGGGCTGGGCCCAGAGTCCAGCCATCCAGCTGCTCCTTTCCCAGTTTGAATTCAATAAATCTGTCCACTCCCCTTTTGTGGGGGTGAACATTTTAACGGCCAAGGGTGCATCCTTCATGGTCTGGGCTTGCGTCTGTCTTGGGGGACACCTTCTTCCCTGTTCCCTTTGGTCCTTCCTCTGGTGGGATGTGGAAGCAAGTGTTGAGGGTGGCCCTCACTGGGGTGAGGGGCAGGGGGAGCCCTCGACATCCTTATCTAAGTATTGTCTAGGTTTGTGAAGGAAGGCAACTTCAGTGTACTTAAGGGGTGGGTTTGAGGGAGCCTAGCCTTGCACAGCCGTGGGTCACTTTGCTGGGACCGAAGGGAGGGAGCCAAGAGACTCTTTCAGGCCAAATCAAGCAATATGCACCTGGGAACTGCACGTGCCAAAGCTGGTTTTAAAAGGCCTTTATAGGAGGGAGGCCAGGACAGAAGGAAAGTGGTGTTGGGGCAGCTTCTGAGGTCCAGATTGGAATTGGAGGGGCATATGGGGCATCCTTCAGTTCACCTTTGGTCCCTTAAGAGGGTTCCCTGTAGGCCTGTCTGTGATGAATATCTCCAGGCTTGGTGGCCACCCTTGGGCACAGCAGGAGGAAGGTGAAATTACTAAAACAGATTGCACCCCCAAGAAGCAGAGGATGAGTTGGTAACTCCCTGTGTGGTGTCCTCCAGGGGCCCCTCAGTCCAAAGGTGAGGACAGACCTCTGCTGATCTACCCTTTCCTTTCAGGACCCGGCTATTCCCCCCACAACCCTCCCTCATTGAGGCCCTCAGGCTCCAGCAGTTTCAGCCAGGGGAAGGCCTGGGCCTGAGCAGAGCTGGCAACTCTGGGCCCCAAACCGGTTTTACCACCTCCCCTGGGGCTGGCACATCACCTCTGCATTTCCTTCCCCACCCCTGCCCTCCCTTGCCACCAAGCTTCTCTGCTCCCCCTTCTGGAATGTTAAGGGGGGGGATAGTCAGGTCATCTCTTGTCCCTTGCCTGCCCTGGGTGTGGTCCCTTCTAGAAAGACAAGGCCACTATGCATGACTTTAAGGCAAGGTGAAGTGACTTTCACTCTTGGCCTTTTGCACTTCTGGCATTCAGGAATCCCCTCCAGGCCTTTAAGACTTTGAAACTAAGTGACAACAAAAAGTAGTTGGGACTCTCCTTACTCCCCTAATCTGTGCCCTGGAGTAGGAGACCAGAAAGCCACGAGGAAATCCAGCCTATACCCTGGCCTGCTCCTCTAGGGGCACCCCCGGCCAATGCGTTCCCTTATCTGAAGTACCAACAAAGCAAATGACTTCCATTTGTCTCCTGCCAAAAAGAACACCTTATTTGCTGGGACTAAGATTGTCTCGTGAATGATAACGCAAGCTGATGTTAATAGGGCCCTTCCTCTGTGTCAGCTTCTGTGCTGGACACTTTGGATGCTCACATGGCCCCTATGAGGTAGGTAAAGCCATGAGAAGACAAGTGTAGAGAGGTCCAGTCATGCCCCCAAAGCCACAGTGTTGGTCTGTGGTGAAAGCAAGCTTTGACCCCAGGCTGACTCCAGAAGTACCCCTTCATGAAGGAGGGACCCATATTCCTAACCTCCCAAGGGTAGTGCTGTTTTGAAATGGAACTAGGTACTGAAATCAATTTCTAATCCACAGAGGAATAGTCTTTGGAGGGAAATGAGGGATGTGAAGTGTATGCTGCTTCTGTACCTATATTCAACTCTCACGACCCCAGTTCCCATACAAACATAAGTCTTCTGTAAATACTAACATTTCTCCACTTGCAAAGCTCTTTCCCATTACTTTATGGGGACAAGTAGGCGAGACCCATTCCCATTTTACAAAGGAGAAGATAGAGTTAAGTAGTTAAATGACCTGCCCAAGGTTCTGGCCTGGAACTCTGGTGTTCTTCCTGGGAGTCTGTTTGGCTTACATATTAAATGCCCCACCAGCACATTGCTGGGAAGGGGTGTGGCAGTGGCCCTATAAACAGAGCTTTGGAGAGGGACCCAGCAAGAAAGCACAGTCACACAGCCTGTCACACAGTCCTAGATGAGTAGGAGATTATCAACAGTAGACTCACAGATAAAGCAGATAAAGCTGACAAACACAAACATTAGGGTGCTGCCTTCATTTGGGACTGATGGATAAAGGGCCCGGAAGGGGAATCCCAACTCCAGGACTGCAGATGCAGAAGCTACTGGGGTCCAACTGGCTTTAGCAGGCCCCTGTAGTGGTCCATGGCTGGTCAGCAGGTGTCGTTGTGCAGTGTCCACAGAAGTAATGCTTTATTAGGAAGGAGAAGTAGGCGAGGACACCGTTGCCTTTTCAAAGCTGGGGCCCGAGAGGAGGCAGTACAGAAACTACAACTCCCAGAAGCCCGTGCTCTCGGGCGAGTCGGGACTGGTTGCCATGGTTTCAGAAAACAATATGGCCGCTCCCAACTGGGACGTGAGTCTGTGGTTTAGGGAGGCGGATGCAGGTAGCGGCTCCTGCAGGGGCGAGAAAGGAAGCGCTTGAGGGTCGTGAGGCTGCGGCTGGACGGGGCACTACTGGAACGGCCTGGCCTCGCTGAGGGCGCCAATGGCGGGCAGCGTGGACGAGGAGGCTCTGCATCAGCTGTACCTGTGGGTAGACAACATCCCTCTATCCCGGCCCAAGCGAAACCTCTCCCGGGACTTCAGTGACGGAGGTGTGTGCCCTTGTGTGTCTACGTGTGTTTTGTCCTGTCTGTACATGTGCAACAGGTCTGTGTACATACTGTCTCTTTGTGTTTGTGTGCCTGTTTGTGTATGTGTGTGGAGTGGGGGGATCTGTTTCCTGGGAATTCAACAGAAGTATGTGCTCGTGTGTGTGTTTTCTATTTGTGTCTGTGGGTGAACAATGTGTGTCCATATGTGTGTCTACATGTCCCAACCTATGCGCAGGTGGTAGGTATATGTGTGTGCCTTAGACTCCCTCCAGGGACTTTTTTTTTTTTTTTTGAGTAGGAATCTCACTCTGTTGCCCAGGCTGGAGTGCAGTGACGTGATCACAGCTACCGCAGCCTCGACCTGCTGGCCTCAGGTGATCCTTCCACCTCAGTCTTCCAAGTAGCTGGGATCACAGGTGTACCACCATGCCCGGTTAATTTTTTTGCTTTACTGAAGAGATGAGGTCTTGCCAAGTTGCCTAGACTGGTCTTGAACCCCTGGACTCAGGCAATCCTTTCACTTCCGCCTCCCAAAGCGTTGGGATTACAGGTGTGAGCCCTCCAGGGACTTTAATGACTAAGATATGTGTCTGCAAATGTATCTGTGCATTTCTGTATGTGCTCACTCACGGTGTGTTCTATATACCTATCTTGTGGAAGTCTGAACACATGTGTGCTCATATGTGTGTTGACATGGTCTGTCTTGTATGTATTTGGGTGGGTTTGTGCATATATATATTTCTTTGTGATTGTGTAGGTGTCTGTGTTTCTAGGAGTGTTTCCTGGGGTTTTAATGACAGAAGTATGACTTTCTGTGTGTATTTGGGAAGTCTATGGGAACATGTGACTCTGTACTATTGTATGTGTGTGTTCTACATGTGCACCTATATGTGTCTGGCATGTGTTTGTTCTGTGTATCTATAATTGTATCCTAGTCTGTGACTCTCTCAGGACTTTGGTGTCAGAGTGTGTGTGTGTACGTACAACCATGTGAATTCATAGGGTGGGGCCCAGGTTCCTGAAAGTTTCTCTTAGAGACTCATTCTCTGCTAGAGGACCAGAGACCTTAGTATTCCCATGCCCTGAATTAATGGGAAGGAATGCAGCTCCTCTGAGGTATGCTGGAAGTTCAGTGTCTACCTGATCACTGATCTTAGTTTCTTTGTCTCCTTTGCTATCATCCTTCCCCTTTCTGTATTGCTACCTCTTCGCTGGGTTCCCCACTCTGCCATGCCTGATTATCTTCCCCCCTTCTTCCACCTCCTTCTTCTTTACCCATACCCTCACCTTCCATGTCTGCTTCTACCCCTGCTCCCTCAGTCCTGGTTGCAGAGGTCATCAAGTTTTACTTCCCCACGATGGTGGAGATGCACAATTATGTCCCTGCCAACTCTCTCCAGCAGAAGCTCAGCAACTGGGGTCATCTGAACAGGTAGGAAACCTGAGTGCAGGAGTAGGGATCTCCAGCCCCTATCCTGGGTCCCAAGGAAGGGCTGACCCAGCCCCTTCATCTTCCTGTGCCCTTAGCTGCATTGGTGGCAGCGTGGGAAGGGCCAACACTGGCAGAATCTGCCTGGTAACAAAATCAAGGAACTCTTTATTGGGACAGAGACAAGAACTCTCAGGACATTCAAGAGGAGGGCTCAGATGCGATGCCCTTCCATCCTCCCAGGGCCTGGCACTCAGGACAGCGATCACCATGCCCCTTCCTTCTCCCCCATCCACCTCCCTTCTTTCCACCAGGACCCAGCCTGCCATCTTTGTGTCTAACCCCCCCTCCAGGAAGGTATTAAACAAGCTGAACTTCTCAGTACCGGAGGACGTGATGCGCAAGATTGCACAGTGTGCCCCGGGCGTGGTGGAGCTGGTGCTCATCCCGCTGAAGCAGCGCCTGGAGGAGCGGCAGAGGCGCAGGAAGCAGGGCGCTGGCTCCTTGCAGGTGCCACCCGCTTGAGCTTCTCCCACTGTTCTGGGGAGACTTCCCAGACAGCAGAAAGTCTTGCCTTAGTGGCAAGTGTTGGGGAGGGATGTCTGGCTAAGGAAACCCTGGCCTGGGGGACTGTGGAAGGGACATGGGGCTTCTTGGGATGACAGCCTGGGCTCACAGAGGACTGTGGGGGTTCTTTCAGGAACTGGCTCCCCAGGATGGCAGTGGCTACATGGATGTGGGTAAGGTGGCCTTTCCCAGTTCTCCTGTCCTTCTTCCTATGGCTTGTGAGGGTGGGAGGTGGGGGAACAGGAGAATGGGACTCCTCCACTTGCCTTGTCTCACTCAGGTTTATCCCAGAAGGCCCGAGGTGAAGGTGCCCCAGACCCTCAGGGAGGAGGACAGCTCAGGTAAAGAAGCTGGGAGTTCCTGATTTCACCAGGCTTGGTGATCTCCCCACCCAGACTTGGACGTAGGGGTGGAGGCGGGGCAGGCTGCACCTGGGAAGGGGATAGGCAGGAAAGGGGTTAGCAGAGGAAAGGAGCAGGCCTGATCTAGAGTACTGGAAGGTGAGGGTGGGGCCCGAGGTCCAGGCATCTGCTACACTGCTTTCCATTCCAGAGCGGGAAGGCCACCAGCACCTTGGCCTCCAGGGTATAGCCAGGCACTGCAGGGAGACCCAAGCTTCATCCTCCAGATTGCTGAAAAGGAGCAGGAGCTGTTGGCCTCACAGGAGACCGTGCAGGTGAGATGGGCACGCTGGGAGGCTGGCTAGTGAGGGGGGGGGTTTGCAGAGGCGGAGGCAGAAGGGAGCAGGCCGCCGGACTTGACCTTTGCGCGGTATGCTCCAGGTCCTGCAGATGAAGGTCAGGCGCCTGGAGCACCTGCTCCAGCTCAAGAACGTGCGCATCGACGACCTCTCCCGGCGGCTCCAGCAGGCGGAGCGCAAGCAGCGGTGAGCGGCGGCCCGGGCCGCGCGGGTCGCCCCAGTACTCGCCAGACGTCGCGCCCGGCCCACCCACCTGCTGACTGACCATTGGGAGGGCGGAGCCGGCTGTTCGCACGAGCCTCCTGGGGATGGGTGACCGTGGGAGACGATGGGACAGGAGCCCTTGGAGCAGAGGCCCGGGACTGAGCCGCCTTCTTCCACTCCATCCGAGTCAGCAGAATGGACCACTTTCCAGAGCTTAGAAGACACATGCAGAGACCAGGCGTGCCCTCCTACATAGCAGTGTCAGACAACTCGGGCCTGACCTTGCAGCTCCCAGCGCTGGACCTCGGAGGGCAGTTCCCTGGCTCAGTCTACGCGCCCAGAACCAGGTCCCCACTTAGCTCTGAGGACAATGGTGTCTCCATACAGGCTAATTTTCCATGCCCTCAGCCAAGGGGGAAGCTGCCCCAGGCTGCTGATGGGCTCCCTTGCCCCTCCTGGGAGCTTACCTGGGACCCAACTTGGGGCTGCAGACAGCAGCAGCTGCAGAGGAAGGGTTGAGAAGTGGGATCAGCTAGGAGTAGAGAGGACATCTGCTGTCCTCAAATAATTGCTCTCCCTGCCCATGGAGTGCTGTTGAAAATGTTTGCAGGACTGACCCCAGTTAAAGGTATTGTTGTGTTCTTTCCTGTGCCTATTTTCCTTCTTTCTGCCTGGATCCTTGAGGGCAACCAGTTCCTGCTCCCCTTGTCTTCTACCTCCACCCCACCTTGAGTAAAAGAAAGAGCCAGAGTGGGTCTCATGGGTGGCTGGGTCACGTGTGGTCACTGCTTAGTAGGCGAATGATATCACCAGGGGTTAGGTTTTGTACACTATGACAGGCTGTAGATTGACTCTTGAAACCCGCTCTCACAATATCCTCCAATTGTGTCCAAACCCAACCCTGACCCAGGCTTTAGAGTCTTCCCACCTGTGGCCAGACACTCACCATCAGCCCTGTCCAGGGACTGAACCCTAACTTGGCCCTGTGTATGACTCCATCCCTGCCCACAGACCAATCCAAATTCTATGGACTGAGACCAAGCTTTACATCCAACACTGACCAGCACACTATGGCCATGGCATGACCCTATCTCTGATGATTTGCTGACTGCTGGTAATGTTGAGCATTTGTAAATTCCGAGATCCAGTGATTCCATTCCTAGGCATATACCCATGGGAAACTTAACCTCTTGTGTTGCTGTGTTATAGCAATGTTCATAGCAACACCTGTAATAGCAAAGGAACTGAGAAGAGCCTGTATTAGTTATTTTTATGGTGTAACAAATTACCACCAACGTAGTGACTTAGAACAACACAAGCTTATTACCTCACATTTTCTATGGGTCAAGAGTCTAGGTTGGGTCCTCTGTTTCAAGGCTTCCCACAAGGCTGCAATGAAAGTGTAGGCCAGAACTATGGTCTCATTTGAAGGTTTGACTGGGGAAGAATACAAGCTCACTTGGTTGTTGACAGAACTCAGTTCCTGGTGAACTGTTGGACCTAGGGCTTCAGTGTTTTAATGGTTGTTGGCAAGGGGCTGCCCTCATTTCCTTGCCATGTGACCTTCTCCAGTATGATAGCTTACTTCATCAAAGCCTGCAAAGGAGAAAGTAGATAGAATCTGCTAGCAAGAAGGAAGTTGCAGTCTTATCTAATGTAATCACAGAAGTGCCATCCTGTCACATTTATTATATTCTATTTATTAGAAGCAACTCACTGGGTCCAGCCTACGTTCAATGAAAGGGGTGAATACCAGGAGGCAGGGCCATTGGGAGCCATTTTAGGAACTGTCTACCACAAGGAAGAAAAAGTAATGAAAGGATAAAATCTAGGATAGTGGTTACCTCTGAGTAGAAGCAAGGGTAAAGGTTGTCAGAAGCACATGAGTAGATGTAAGTTCTTTGTAATAGTTTAATTCTTGGAGCAGGTGGCAGATTTATAGGTGTTCATAAGTCAGTCATTTATGGACAAATAGGGAGAGAGTATCATGAACCAAGGATTATATCTAGTTCAACAATATTTAAAATATTATATAATCAATGAAGGTAAAAGTTGGTGACTCCTCCTGACCTTGGTCTGAGCCCCATCCCTGCACTCAGCCTGGTCTTAGGCTAACACTAGCACTAGCCTGACCCACCACTTGACCCAAACTAACTGCTAGCCCTTCACAACTTATTGCAGGCTATGGAGCACTGCAACCTCTCCATAGCCTGCAATAAGTCACCAGATTTCTTTTATTTTATAGTTACTTTCTTTCTTTCTTTTTTTTTTTTTTTTGAGATAAGTTCTTGCTCTGTCACCCAGGCTGGAATGCAGTAGCACAATCACAGCCTACTGCGCCCTCAACCTCTTGGTTCAAGTGATCCTTTCGTCTCAGCTTCCCAAGTAGCAAGAACTATAAGCATGCGCCACCACGCCTGGCTAATTTGTTAGTTTTTTGCACAGATGTGATCTGGCTGGTCTCGTGCTCTCAGCCTCAAGCTGTCCTCCTCAAAGTGCTGGAACTGCAGGTGTGAACCACCACACCTGGCCTCCAGAGTTATATTCTCTGAAACTCTCATCCACGTAACCACACCTGTAGTCTCCTTTATGTAAAGCTGGTAGAAAAGGCTTATGGAAGGACTGAGGATTAAGAGGTGGGGGAAGGTTATTGTTCTGCCTTGGCAGTAGCACAGTGTGCCCAGATTACGAGTCTGATGGCTGAGGTCACCACCTCACCTATTGGCCTCCTTCATGGCGGAGGGTGGGCCAGGTCCTGGAGTTTCTTCCACCTTGAGACCTCCACCCCTGGTATCCAGATATCCTTGAAACTGTCTCAACCCACAAGCCTATTGCAAAACCCTACAAATCAAATCCTAAAAGCAATTTGGGAATTCACTGAATGTTACTTGGGACTATGAAAGTGGATTACATTACACATTATTAAAAAAGTGAATTGCATTACACATTATAACTCTATAACTCTTCTTTAAACGTTTCTATGGTTCTCCAAATCTCCCCTCTGATAGCCACTGTCATATTTCTTTCCCTCTGCTCCCCACTCCCCTCTCCTCTTTCTGACCCACACTAAATTTGACTTCCTCTGGTTTGTTCATTCATTAACGCCTTTAAGATTTGAGTGCATACTATATACTAAATCCAGGACACAAAAAATGTGTATAAAACATGATTTGTTCTCCCCAGTGTTCACAATCCTACAGAGGAGAAAGGCATATAAAGAGTATTTAACCAGCCTGGACAACATAACAAGATTTCATCTCCATAAAAATAAAAAAATTAACCAGGCAGGTGGGGCACACCTGTGGTCCCAGCTACTCAGGAGGCTGAAGCAGGAGGATCATCTGAGCTCAGAATTTTGAGGCTACAGTGAGCTGTGATTATGCCACTGCACTCCAACCTGGGTGACATTATGAGACCACAACTTTAAAAAAAAAAAAAAAGAGTATTTTCAATTGTTATTTAATTTGTTTTTTGAGTTAGAGTCTCACTCTGTTGCCCAGGCGGGAGTGCAGTGGCACACTCACAGCCACCACAGCCTTAACCTTCTGGGCTCAGGCGACCCTTCCACCTCAGCCTTCCAAGTAGCTGGAACTACAGGCGTTCATTACTACACCCAGAAAATTTTTTGATTTATTGTAGAAGTGAGGTCTTGCCAAGTTGCCCAGGCTTGTCTCAAACTCCTGGGCTCAGGCAAACCTCTCGCTTCATCCTCCCAAAATGCTGGGATTATAGGTATGAGCCCCTGTGCCTTGCTAAGATTTATTATTTAATGTTTTAAATAGATAAAACATCCACATTACTTTTTTAAGCAGATAAAAAACGAAATGTCTCTTTGTTCCCTGCACATCTCTAATAAGTTACTTCTATCTTTACTTTGGTGTACCCTTCAGAATGTCTTTATGTGAATATAAGCAAACATGCACATTTGTTGTCTTACCCCTATTTAAAAAAAAAAATCCAAAGGGCAGCATACTATACACTCTGTTGTGCATTTTGATTTTTCACCCAGCAAGGTTTCTTTTAGATCTGTGGTGATTAATTTTATATGCCAACTTGACTGAGCCACAGGGTGCCCAGATAGTTCACACCCAGATATTCACACCCAGATATTCTGGGTGTTTCTGTGAGAGAGTTTTGGGATGAGATTAACATTTAGATTGCCCACCCTAATGTGGGTGGGCCACATCCAATCAGTTGAAGGTGTGAATAGAATGAAAAGGCTGACCCCTTGAATAAGAGATAATGGTCTTTGAACCAAGACGTCAGCTTTTTTTCTTGCCTTTGGACTCAAACTGCAACACCAACTCTTCCTGGGTCGTAAATCTGCTGGCCTTTGGACTAGAACTACACCGTCAACATTCCTGGTTTTCAGGCCATTGAACAAAGACTGGAACTAAACCTCTGGCTCTCCTGGGTTCCCAGCTTGCCAACTCACCCTGCAGATCTTGTGACTTGCCAGACTCCATAATCATGTGAGCCAATTCCTTATAATAAATCAATCTCCTCTATCCCCCATGCTGCTCAGTTCTGTTTCTCTGAAGAATCCTGACTAATACAAGATCTTTCTGGCCGGGCATGGTGGCTCACACTTGTAATCCCAGCTCTTTGGGAGGTTGAGGCAAGGGAATTGCTTGAGGCCAGGAGTTCAAGATCAGTCTGGGCAACATAGTGAGACCTCGTATCTACAAACAAATCAAAAAATTAGCTAGGCGTGGTGGCAAATGCCTATAGTCCCAGCTACTTGGGAGGCTGAGGCAGAAGAATCGCCTAAGCCCAGGAGGTCAAGGCTGCCGAGAGCCATGATCAGACCACTGTACTCCAGCCTGAGTGACAGAGACCCCCCCACTAAAAAAAAAAAAAAAAATTCTTTATCAGTACATTGAAAACTTCATCTGTTTTCTTTTTCTTTCTTTCTTTTTTTAAAATTTATTTTGAGTTGGAGTCTCACTCCTTCACCCAGGCTGGCATGCAGTGGCACAATCATGG